TGAGGCCACGTGGGCATGCCCGGTCGCCACGCCGAATAAGGGGCGCGTAGCTGGGGAAGGAGATAGGGACCCGGTAGCAAGAGTCTGGGATTCTCGCCCGGCCCAGCCGCTGGTTCGTTCCGTTGTGTGACTTGGGTGGACTGCCTTCCTCCAGTCGCCTCATCTGTACAGTGGCTGGTGAGGGCAATGCCCGCTCTGCCTACTCCCGAAGATTAGATGCCAGGGGACCGCCAAGTGTGGGATAGATCGCTGGTCCATTAAGTGTGAGATTGCTGACCCTTCGCGCCGATCAGGTCCCGGGGTCTGGACGAGGTCGGGGAGGGACAGCGTGGGCTTCCCAGGGTCACGGGAGGAGAGCGCCTATAGTCCAAACCACTCGCCCGGACGTAGGATGGAAGGAGGCGGCCCGGAGGACCGCGTTCTCCGTCCCAAGCCCGAAGCCTGAAGGGCTGACATGTCGCAGTGGTCCCAGCAGTTGCCGCGAGTAGGGAGCAGGCGGCAGTGCCCCGGGCCCTCGCTAGGTGGCACTGTCACCAAGGACAAAGCTGGCTGAGGGTCCAGCGACCCGGGGCGGCGTTCCTCTGCCAAATGTAAACCTGGGGAGGGTCCGGGTGGATTCTGCTGGGCCGGCTCGGCGCTTGAGCCCCTGGCGGATTGCCACCGTCCTCTCTCCCGTACGGACCCAAATGAGCCGGCCTTTGTGGGAAGTGGACTGAGCGCTTTGGTGCTTGGTGCTGGGTTACTCATTTAAGAAGTCAAGTGGGCTTGGTAAGGGCCTTCTTTGGTTAAGTCGGGCTCTGGGTATTTAAAGATGATTGAGACATGGTCCGCAGGACCAGGAAATACGTCTTCTTTGGGGAGCCCGAACAGTTAGCTACACGGAGCATAAAAGGCTGTAGTAAGGATTCCCATTTATTGAGCACTTCCTAAACCAGGGTATCTTGTACATATTTATAACCCCCTACCCCACAACAACGTTGCAAAGTAAGCATTCTGTACCCTGTTTTACAAGTGGGGGGAAGGAATGACTGCCCAAGGATACACAACTAGTAGGCAGCGTTTTCGGGTGTGTCTCCAAGGTTCGTGCCCTTCTATCCCACTCTGCCTTCCTCTGATGCTTAAAATAAAAATAAAAATCCTTATTGATTTTAGAGAGAAAAACATTGATGTGAGAGGAAAACATGGATCGGTTTCCTCCCACACACGTCGGGACTGAGGGTATGCTCTGAATGGGAATCGAACCTGAAACCTTTTTGGTGTTCGGGATGCTCCAACCAACTAAGCCGCCCAGCTGGGGCCTCTGATGTTTTGTTTTTTTTAAGCCTCTATTCCTGTGTCTCACATCCGGGCAAGCGGAGGAGAAAATCTGGTGCTTCTTCCTTCGGCACCAATGGGAGATTCAAGCCAGGTAAGTCCCTGCCTGAATGCATGACCCCGTTACCTGGGCCCCACCTCGCCACCACCTGTTTTTGCCTGTGAGAGTTTATGAAAAGCACTTAAAACAGCCCCTGGCACAGAGTAAGTGCTATGTAGGTGTCAGTCATCACTACTATTGCTGTCGTTGTTGTTGATGGTCCATCACTGGAGAAAAGGACTGGATATCTGTCCTTCCGACAAACACATATATGTATGTGTGTCCCTTCAGCCCTGTGCCATTCCCAGAAAGGGCCCACAGTGATTTAGCATCCTAACCTCCACTTTTCCCTGTAGAGCAGTGGTTCTCAACCTTCTGGCCCTTTACATACAGTTCCGCATTTTGTGACCCAACCATAAAATTATTTTCGTTGCTACTTCATAACTGTCATGTTGCTACTGTTATGGATCATCATGTAAATATCTGATATGCAGGATGGTCTTAGGCGATCCCTGTGAAAGGGACATTCGACCGCCAAAGGGGTCGCGACCCACAGGTTGAGAACCGCTGCTCTAGAGGAATCTCTTATATTAGATATGGCTGGTTCCTCATTCATCTTGTGGACAACAAATTCCTAAACAAGGAATTCTTGGAAATAAGGACCTAACTTCATGTCAACACTTCAGTGAAATTTTCCTAATTTGCCCACATAAAGTTCACAATGTGGTCCCGTGGCCTTACCCCATCAAAGTATTTTTCACACTGTGCTGGCGTCTTTAAATACTTGCTGCTCCCACCAACCTGTGAGCTTCTGACGCCCATTCTGTATGCCCTTCTTTTTGCCCTGAAGTGGCCTTCTGGAAGTGCAGCTCTCTGTGTTTAACCTTTTCCTGGCCCCGGGCAGCCATGTTTTTCCAGGCTCCTGGGGACGGTGAAAAGTGAGAATGTGGCTGGTTCTCCCCCAGCCAGAGGCATTGCAGTAATTTCTTGATAGGCTTTTCTTTGATGTGTGGTATCCTCATACCATCCAGGTGTCTGCAGGACTCACAGTCTGTGCATCACACATATTTGTGTTCCTTAGACTTACTATCACAATGCCTGACTTCCTGTCACAGCCAGTTAATGAATGAATGAGCCCAGGATGTCTGGAGACCTCCCTCTGCTGAGAGGTGTGAAAAGCTGATGGCATTTCTTAGCACAGGTAGTCAAGCTCCAGTGTTTCTCTCTCTCATCTTCTTCAAGAGGTTTTCGTATGTCACTTGGCTCTAGCCCTTACCCCAAAACCCTACAGATGCAGCCATTTGGAAGATCCTGAATTCCATATTTTATCAGTGACTTCCATGAGAACAAAACAAGGTTGCTCAGTGGTTGGCTCACAGACTGAAGGGTCACAGGTTCAGTTCTGCTCAAGGGCATGTACCTCAATTGCAGGCTTGATCCCTGGTCCCGGTCAGGGCATGTGCAGGAGGCAACCAATCGATGTCTCTCTCTCTCAGTCTCTCCCCCTCCCTACCATCTCTCTAAAAATCAGTGGAAAAATAT